CCCTGGTGGCCAAGAAAGCCAAGGGCACCCTGGGGGGCATCAAGAAGAACATGGAGAACCTCGAGGGAGGTCATCCTGCCCCTCTGCCCTGCCCTGGGGAGGCCCCAGCTGGAGCACTGGGACCAGTTCTGGGCTCCCCAGTTCCAGAAGGACAGGGAACTGCTGGAGAGGGGACAGCAGAGGCTGCGAGGATGATGAGGGACTGGAGCATCTCTCTGCTGAGGAAACACTGAGGGACTTGGGTCTTCTTAGTCTGGAGAAGGCTGAGGGGGGATCTGATCAACACCTCTAAATCCTTCAAGGGTGGGTGTCAGGAGGATGGGGCTGGTCTTTTTTCAGTGGTGCCCAGGGACAGGACAAGAGGAAATGGGCACAAACTTGACCATGAGAAGTTCCACCTCAACATGAGGAGGAACTTCTTCCCTGTGAGGGTGGCAGAGCCCTGGCAGAGGCTGCCCAGAGAGGTGGTGGAGTCTCCTTCTCTGGAGACATCCAAACCCCACCTGGACACGTTCCTGTGGGACCTGCTCTGGGTGGCCCTGCTCTGGCAGGGGGTTGGACTGGATGATCTCCAGAGGTCCCTTCCAACCCTATGTGATTCTATGAGGGGACACACACACAGAGGGTTTGCACACACACACACACCCCTGGACCTCCTCTTCCCTTCTACCCCACCTTGGGGCTGCCCTTGGGGATGGTGGAACATCTCCATGATGGTGAAAAGCCACCAAAGCAGGCGTGGAGTGAGGAGCAGTGGGGACAGGGGACTGAGGGGTGTCCCCCCGCCCCACACACACCGTGGGGGTCATGTGTGTGTGTGTGTGTGTGTCTTCCCTGTGAGGGTGGCAGAGCCCTGGCAGAGGCTGCCCAGAGAGGTGGTGGAGTCCCCTTCTCTGGAGACATTCAAAACCCCACCTGGACATGTTCCTGTGGGACCTGCTCTGGGTGGACCTGCTCTGGCAGGGGGTTGGACTGGATGATCTCCAGAGGTCCCTTCCAACCCCATGTGATTCTATGAGGGGACACACACAGAGGGTTTGCACACACACACACACCCCTGGACCTCCTCTTCCCTTCTACCCCACCTTGGGGCTGCCCTTGGGGATGGTGGAACATCTCCATGATGGTGAAAAACCAGGGGGGGAGCAGGCATGGAGTGAGGATCAGTGGGGACAGGGGACTGAGGGGTGTCCCCCCCAACACACACACACCGTGGGGGTCATGTGTGTGTGTGTGTGTGTCCGTCCCACAGCTACACGGACACGGACGAGCACAAGATCCAGCACTGCTTCTGCTACACCTCCACGGTGCTCACCAGCACCTTGGCCTTCCAGAAGGAGCAGAAGCTCAAGTGTGAGTGCCAGGTGAGCACCACGGGGTGGTGGTGAAAGGATGACACACACACACACGTGTCACACGCGTGTGCGTGTCCCCACCTCACGCCGGTGGGTGGGTGGCTGATGGTGTCCTCCTCGTGTGTTTGTGTGTCCTCACCAGGCCCTGCTGCAGGTGGCGAAGAACCTCTTCACACACTTGGGTAGGTGGACGCTGTGGGGAGCGGCCGTGTCCTGGGGGGGGGGACACGGACCCCCCCACACTGCATGTAGCCCCCCCCACACACACACCCCCCGGGATGGTGGCATCGGGGTCCCCAACGTGGGGGGAGCTTGTCCCCTGCGCTGCCGTGCACGTGGCGTTGTGTGCACACACGTGTTGCTGCATGCGTGTACTGATGCACATGTGTACTGCTGTACACGTGTATTGTTGCACATGTGTACTGCTACACGCGTGTTCTGCTGCACAGGTGTATCGCTGCAGACGTGTACTGCTGCAGACGTGTACTGCTGCACACATGTACTGCTGCACGCGTGTATTGCTGCACACGTGTACTGCTGTACACGTGTGCTGCTGCATGTGTGTACTGCTGCATGTATGCATGCACTGCTCCACATGTGTACTGCTGCAGACGTGTACTGCTGCACGTCTGTACTGCTACACGTGTACACTGCTGTACATGTGTGCTGCTGCATGTGTGTACTGCTGCACGCGTGTACTGCTCCACATGTGTACTGCTGCATGTGTGCTCTGCTGTATGCATGCACTGCTCCACATGTGTACTGCTGCAGACGTGTACTGCTGCACGTGTGTACTGCTACATGCGTGCACTGCTGTACATGTGTGCTGCTGCATGTGTGTACTGCTGCATGCATGCACTGGTCCACATGTGTACTGCTGCACACGTGTACTGTTGCACCTGTGTTCTGCTGCATGCGTGTACTGCTGCACACATGCTCTGTTGCACACGTGTTCTGCTGCAGACATGTACTGCTGCACGTGTGTACAGCTGAAACCATGTACTGCTGCATGCATGCTCTGCTGCACACGTGTTCTGCTGTACATGTGTATCTCTGCAGACGTGTACTGCTGCATGCATGTACAGCTCCACATGTGTACTGCTGCACATGGGTACTGCTGCACACGTGTTCTGCTGCACACGTGTTCTGCTGCAGACATGTACTGCTGCACATGTGTACAGCTGAAACCATGTACTGCTGCATGCATGCTCTGCTGCACACATGTTCTGCTGCACATGTGTATCGCTGCAGACATGTTCTGCTGCACGCATGGACTGCTGCACACATGTACTGCTGCACGTGTGTACTGCTGCACATGTGTACTGCTGCACGTGTGTACTGCTGCATGCATGCTCTGCTGCACACATGCTCCATTGCACGTGTGTTCTGCTGCATGCATAGACTGCTCCACATGTGTACTGCTGCAGACATGTACTGCTGCACGTGTGTACTGCTGCACGTGTATACTGCTGCACATGTGTACAGCTGAACACATGTACTGCTGCATGTATGCTCTGCTCCACACGTTCTGCTGCAGACATGGACTGCTGGACGTGTGTACTGCTGCACGCGTGTACTGCTGCATGCATGCTCAGCTGCACACGTGTTCTGCTGCACACTGTATCGTTGCAGACGTGTTCTGCTGCATGCATGGACTGCTGCAGACATGTACTGCTGCACGTGTGTACTGCTGCACACGTGTACTGCTGCACATGTGTACTGCTGCACGTGTGTACTGCTGCACACGTGTTCTGCTGCATGCATGGATTGCTGCACGTGTGTTCTGCTGCATGCATGGACTGCTGCACGCGTTTACTGTTGCACCCATGTACTGCTGCACACATGTACTGCCTCATGCATGCTCTGCTGCACACGTGTTCTGCTGCACATGTGTATCGCTGCAGACGTGTACTGCTGCACGCATGTACTGCTGCATGTGTGTACTGCTGCACACATGCTCTGTTGCACATGTGTTCTGCTTCATACATGGACTGCTCCACATGTGTACTGCTGCAGACGTGTACTGCTGCATGTGTGTACTGCTGAATGCATGTACTACTGCACACGTGTACTGCTGCACCTGTGTACTGCTGCACATGTGTACAGCTGAACCCATGCACTGCTGCATGTGTGTACTGATGCACACGTATACTGCTGCATGCATACTCTGCTCCACACCTGTTCTGCTGCACACATGTTCTGCTGCACACGTGTATCGCTGCAGACATGTACTGCTGCATGCATGTACTGCTCCACATGTGCAGTGCTGCACGTGTGTACTGCTGCACGCATGTACTGCTGCACCCATGTTCTGCTGCACGCATGTACTGCCTCATGCATGCTCTGCTGCACACGTGTTCTGCTGTACATGTGTTCTGCTCCATGCATGTACTGCTGCACACATGTAATTCTGCATGTGTGTTCTGCCTCACGTGTGTACTGCTGCACCCATGGACTGCTGCACACATGTACTGCTGCATGCATGTCCCGCTGCATACATGTACTTCTGCAGGCGTGTTCTGCTGCACACATGCACAGCTGCACACACATGTGCACTGCTGCATGCCTGCACATATGCATTGCTGCACACACGTATGTGGTGCTGCACACATACTGCTGCATGCACGCACACTGCTGCGCACATGTATGCACTACTGCATGCGTGTACCGCTGCATGCACACATACATGCACTGCTGCATGCACACACGTGCTGCTGCATGCACACGCTGAGCTGCATGCACACACTGCTGCACGAACACATGCATTGCTGCACACACACTCTGCTGCACATGCATGCACACACACACACGCGGCTGAACACATATTGCTGCACACACGTGTGCACTGCTGCAGGCACACACAGGCCGTGTCACCATACGATGGGCACACATGCACATGCATGCCATGCACATGAACACATGCGTGTGCAGGCACACGTGCACACATATTCAAATGCATGCACGTGCACACATGCAGACGCATGCACACCCCCACATGTACATGCACACACATGCACACACATGTGCACATGCACGTGTGCATGAATATGAATAGGCACATGCACAGATGCATATATACACACACATGCACACATATGCACGCACAGGCACACATACGCACACACACGTACACGAATGCACACACACATGCACACACACATGTGCATACTCATGCACAGCCATGCAGGCATGCGTGCACACTCATACACATGCACAGATATGCGCACACACATGCACACATATGCATGCACAGGCACACATAAGCACACACACAAATGCACGAATGCACACACATGTGCATACTCATGCACAGCCATGCAGGCATGCACACACACTCATACACATGCACAGATACGTGCACATACATGCACACATATGCATGCACAGGCACACATATGCACACACACAAATGCACGAATGCACACACATGTGCATACTCATGCACAGCCATGCAGGCATGCACGCAGACTCATACATATGCACAGATGCACAGATACGCGCACACACATACACACATATGCATGCACAGGCACACACATGCGCACACACGTACACGAATGCACACACACATGCACACAGACGTGTGCATACTCATGCACAGCCATGCAGGCATGCACGCACACTCATACACATGCACAGATGCACAGATACGCACACACACATACACACATACACACATATGCACTCACAGGCACACACATGCACACACACGTACATAAATGCACACACACACACACACACACACGTGTGCATACTCATGCACAGCCATGCAGGCATGCATGCACACTCATACACATGCACAGATACACGCAGACACGTACACGAATGCACACACACATGTGCATACTCATGCACAGCCATGCAGGCATGCGTGCACATTCATACATATGCACAGATACGTGCACATACATGCACACATATGTATGCACAGGCACACATATGCACACACACGTACATAAATGCACACACACATGCACACACGTGTGCATACTCATGCACAGCCATGCAGGCATGCACGCACAC